TGTGTTTCCCCTCCTATATTTCTGTACTTATTGAAAATTTAATTTTTATATAAATGTTATATAAAATATTGCGTGCCACTTATCTACTATTTAACAGCATATTAAAACTTCATACTGGCATCATTCTTAATAAACATGGAATGCTAGTGAGAGGAACAAGAAAGGTCCCAGCAGAAACAGGAAGAAGGACTGGAGACAATAATTGATGGAAAAGAAGACAACTGGACAGACTTTCTCCTTAATTGGATGGGTGACCTTGAACCATTTCTTAACCACTGCTTAACCTTTCTGGTCTGAAACTCCTGATTCAGAAAATAAGAAAATGTAATTCCCCTTAACACTCCGCTTCGTCCTTAGCAGTTAAACATATCCTGTGAATACATATTGGTGATTTAAAATATTTAATTTTATTTAAAATTTGGATAGACAAGATATTAGAAGAATATGTTAATTACCTTAGTTTTTTTTTTTTTAATTCTAATAGGAAAGCTGTTACTTATGATCACACACTCTGGTTCTAAACTAGTCAAAACACTATTTGTGGATGATTAGATTCCTAAAAAGTATTTCCTATGATACTGTTGCAATAACTGACTGTATTTACTAACCATAAAACACAGAGATCCTTAAAAAATAATGGTTGTTAAGACTTATTTTTCCTAACATTTTTTTTCACTATAATGAATGTAGAAAAAAATGCTGAGTTAGTCTCAATTATATAACATGGAATTTATGTCTGACAATAAATCTAAAAATATTTGCAACTATAGATTTTACATATTGAGAGGGTTCTTACTAAGTAATGAGTGATCACAGATTTAAATATACTTCAACTTGCTAAAATTATGTGGTTATATCATGTATTAAAGGTACTGTTTTGCTGTGTATATTTCCAGTAAGTATTTGGGCACAGAGTTTGCTTCCTGATTTTATTTTAGGTTGAGTTTGATTGTTACATCAAAATTCTAAATGAAGTTTGATTTCTATGATAATTTATGATGCTTATATTTATATAATTTGGAAATGTTTTATAAAATATGAGATTATATATGAAGAGATGTATATACAAATACAAATTTACAATGCAAACATATGTGTAATACATACATATAAGCATAAACATAAGTATTTTCAAACGTGTAAAAAAAAAAGTATAGACCTTAAAGACTTAACTCCAACCTTTCTACTTCTGTTCTCTCCTCTCAAAAATTACCTTCCTAAGGGGCTGGGGTTGTGGGTCAGGAGTAGAGTACTTGCCTTGCACATGTGAGGCACTGGGTTCGATTCTCAGCACCACATATAAATAAACAAAAGTATTTTTAAAAATTACCTTCCTGTGCTGTTCAAAAATAATCCAAAGTGATAATTGAATGTCAGAGCACTCTTGAGGACAACTTCACTCCTCCAGTAATTTGAAATGCCACCCCCAAAATACATCAAACCCCCATATATATGCTAATCTTTCTAGTATTAGGCTATTTTTCTAACCCTTAACTTAGAAAAAAATAGCTGCCTGAATCTGGCTGGATTCTCTGTTGAAGTTCATACCTTAATCATCAAATCTGAGTCTTCATACTTTTCTAAAACATGCATGTAATGCTACAACCATCTAAATAAAGCTTTAGGTAATCCTGCAAGTTTCGATATTTACACTTTTGTTTTCCTTTCATTATTCATTTCCCACTATTTTCTAATTTTCATATAATTTCTTTGTTGACTATTTAGAAATATATTTTTCCCAAATTCTTGGGGATTTCTATTTATCTTTTTTTATTAATTTCTACTTTAATCTGATATGGGAATATGAGGTACTAATTATTCTTTTCAGTGTTTTGAGGCTTGGTTTAGCAGGAAATAAATTTCTTGAAGATAATGTAACTTTTTTATTAATTGGGCATAGCATCTTAAGTATGTAAATTAAGTCATATCCATTATTTCCTTCTAATCTCATTTTCTTATTGAATTTTTGCCTCTATGCTTTCAATTGCTAAATGAGACTTGTTAAAAATATTCACTATATTGGGCTGGGGATGTGGCTCAAATGGTAGCGCGCTCGCCTGGCATGCATGGGGCCGGGGTTCGATCTTCAGCACCACATACAAACAAAGATGTTGTGTCCACTGAAAAGTAAAAAATAAATATTAAAATTCTCTCTCTCTCTCTCTAAAAAAAAATATATATATATATTTACTATAGGGCTGGGATTGTGGTTCAGCGGTATAGCGCTCATCTAGCACGTATGAGGCGCTGGGTTCGATCCTCAGCATCACATAAAAAATAAATAAAATAAAGGCAGTGTGTCCAACTACAACTAAGAAATAAAAATAAAAAAGATAAACCTTTAAAAATTTACTATAATTTTGAATTTTAGAGATATCAATTCTTTTTTGATATAAACTGAGGCTACAATTTTTAGTTCATACAAATATTTAATATCTTCCTGATTGGTATTTTTACAATTATAAAATATTTTCCTTTAACTCTAGTAATGCTCGTTTTTTACTTTGATATTTTTGCCACTGCATTAAATTTCTCTTTGTATATGTTTCCACTCAGATTTCATTGTTTCTAGATTAGATTCTTACAGGTAAGATGTTGCAACTATAAGTGATTTTTTTTTCAAAAATTAGAACTATCACTGTTTTTTTGTTTTTTAATTGAAGAATGCACTCTACTTATATATACTTGATTGTGCTAGAGTTTTCTACTCTGGCCATTCTTCAGTGTAAGCCTATTATACAATCAGCCTCACTGGCTTTTGGTTTTTCTGTGTCTTTTGAACACTAGGACATGGATAAAATTATGTCAGCCTCTTTAGCATGTCTTCCCTTTATCATGGATAAACCATATGCCAAATAATAGTTGTTCTTTTAGCCTGAGTCTCAGAAAAATAATTAGGAGACTAGAACCCAGTCAATAGCCTGAAGCTGGGTTACCACAGTCCACTTCCAGCTGCTAAGAAACAGTGTGATCAAAGAACAAATTTTTTCACATCCCAGAGATATTGAGGCTCTTTTACTATACAACTATACAATTAATCTGATGAAAGCTGATTAATAAAAAAAGTTTCCAGAAATGTAGCATTTCTATAGATATGTAGCATTTCTACAGATATGTAAAATTATGTCAGTGACTTCTAGATAGGGAAAATGCTTACAGGTGACTAAAAAATAAATAGTAACCCATGGTATGCAGTGTCAAAACAGTATGGTTATCACTTGTGATAACTTGAAAATCAGACTAGTGACTTAGTGCATTTATAATTTGCTTAATTATTAGCAAAATAAAATGCTAATAGCTTTAGTTGATTGTTTTCAGCTACATTTCCTAAGTTCTTACATGATAGAAATGATCTCCAAAAAGGATTGATGTGTTTGCCATCAGGAATGAAAGGAGGGAGGAAAAAATCCAGACATTCTGGGTCTTGAGGTTAAAACATGGCAATTACTTTTCTCCATTTTATAGCCCTTGATGAAGCCAATCTACTACAGACTCAAGGGAAAGATGTATCTTTGGAATCAAACAGACTTGGTAGATTTTTACACTTAAACTCAGCCACGTACTAGCCATATGGTGTGATGTATCGGCTAAGAAGGCTGGTTTCTGCTCTGATTAAAAACAATTACAAAATGTCAGTTGCTTAGAAGAACAAAAAATTTTTTTTCAGAGTTATGCCACATCTCCAACACGGGAGGGCTGGGAGCTGTATTCACTGTAGTCCTATCCCAGTACTCAGAGTCCCAGATGGACAATCTGAGAGCGCTTTATAGGAGCACTAAATTTTGAGTAAGAAAGTTAATCGCAGCTAGAGTAACAAAACCTTGTGTGCAAGTATATGTGCATAATTTACATTAATATCTTAGTTAAGACTTACTAAACCTTGAGTAGTCTTACTGATTATTCTTTTGGTTCCTGTAAAACCTCCATTGGTCACTTAAGCACCAGAAGCTTTGGTAGATATTACAGGACTGATAAATGAAGCCAACTGCCTGATTTCAGTCCTGTATATTCTCTAGAAGATACAGTACAATAACATCAACCACAGCAGGCGTAAGTGCCACAAAGGACTCGTGAAGCTTAGAGCCTTCTAAAGCACTCAATTAGATACAGTCTTATTTATTATACATTTGTGGTGTTTATCTTCTTGTTTTCTTTTTCCCCTCCACCCCTACTCCACCCCCATCAAACTCAGAGCCTCTGCATGCTGGAGAAATATCTTACCACTATACCCTAGCCCTGCCTGTTCTCTTTGTCAGCAAATAATTTCTTTAAGTCTCACGACAACTTTACTCTGTCACTTAGTCTTAAATGAAAGCTATGGACTATAATAACAACTAACATTTTTGAAGTAAATCTACACCCAGCACATCCATGTCCCTCTTACAGATTATCTCATTTAATCCCAAAAAGGTTTTTTTTGTTATTTTTTTTTTTTTTAGTTTGGTGCTATTATTTTTATGTTCTAGATGAGAAAATCAAAACCAAAGCATTAAGAAATTTACCCAAGTTTGCAAAACTAATAGATATTTGGGTTGGGATTTGCAATTAAATAGATTGACTATAAACCCTTGGTTTGGTTCATTATGCTGTTGCTTTCTTTTGAAGTTTGGAGAGCTTAATTCTAGTTCTATTTTTTTTTAATATTTACTTTTTAGTTGTAGTTGGACACAATACTTAATTTTTATTTATTATGTGGTGCTGAGGATCAAACCCAGGACCTCTCACATGCTAGGCAAGCACTCTACCACTGAACCACAACCCCAGCTCCAATTTTAGTTATATTCTTAAACAATTTTAATCTGTTTTTTTTTTTTCAGGAATTCTGGTTTTCTATTTGTCCTTCAAGTTCAAAAATTTTAAGATTCTTCCTCAAAACAAATTCTCATCTTTTGCTTTATTCTTTTTTTTTTCAATAAAACAGGCCCATAGGCCCTAATAGAGAACATAGTTTTGATCTTAGAGCCTTTCCCTATTTTTAATATTATTTGTTTTTCTCCTAGGTCTCTGCAGAAGAAGGCTTGAGTCTTGCCAGAGAATATAACTGTGCTTTTTTTGAGACCTCTGCAGCCCTTAGATTCTGTATTGATGATGCCTTTCATGGCTTAGTAAGAGAAATTCGCAAGAAGGAGTCCATGCCATCATCCATGGAAAAGAAACTGAAGAGAAAAGGCAGCCTCTGGAAGAAGCTGAAAGTCTCCCTGAAGAAAAAGAGAGAAGCCATAGCATGATCTCCTTGCTGTTGAGTCCCTCTCTGTCTCTCTGAATTTTATCAGTCGGACAATTCTGCTTCTCTATTCTCTTTTCCTCTTTCTTTATATATCTGCCTTTAGGTAGAAGTTAGATCTGCATAACTGTACCTCTTGAGATAGTTTTGTTTTGCCTTTAACAGTTGGATGGATTTTGTCAATCAGCCGGATATGCTTTTAGTTTTTACAATATATTACTAAATAAAATTGACATTCCAATTGCCTCATTTCCCTTTAAAGAGTCTAGCTTCATTTGGTATGCTGTCTGGTTATAAGGAAATATGCAAAATTGCAAGCAGAATGATAAAAGGCTCAAGGGATCTGCCTTTGCCTGATAACACTGGTTGTTTGCATTTCAGGAATCTCTGTAAATAATGAAGCAGCTTGGGAAATAATTTCAGAATAGGAATCTGCATCCTGGTCTTTCCTTAAGTGTAAAAGTCACCATACTACTTCTTGAATGCTTCAGAAATGAATGTCAGAGAAATTATTTATAATGGGAACTGGTATGGGTCATTAAAAAGCCAAAATGAAAGATACCCTTATTTACAGTGTTCTGCCCCCTTTTCACTTGTGTGAAAGTATCACAGTGAAGCCACAGGGCTGTGGCAAAAGAATATTGTCTATGTAATGAGAAAAGACTAGCGATTGTGAATTTGGTAATTCATATACTTATAAAAGGATCTTGTGCTCCCTCTCAGGAAGTAATCTCTTAGAACTCCTTCATTTGCATATACATATATGTAGGTGATGAGTTTTGATAACCCAACTGACTCAACCTTGTCATATTGCTAAAATCTTTTCTCTCCTTTTACATGAAATGTGATGAGACGCCACCAGTTAGATGCTTTGTACTTGTTTTTGTTACAATGGGTCATCATGTAAAATGAAGTCATCTGTCTTTCATTTTTTTCCCATTGTGTGAATTGGCTTATTTAAATTCAAGGTAAGAAACTACTAAAAGGGATAGCTTTGAATGTTTAATAGAGAAGCATTTAGGAAAACTCTAAGTTAAGCATGAATTCAACAAAACATTGTTCACGGGTTGAGGGGACAGTTTTAGCATAAATTAGGTTATAAAGGGAAGAGGACAATGGTGTCCTTCAGTATTTCATCACTGATTCTTCCTTTTTTCCACAATGTCTCTGGCATTTGGTAAACTTTGAGAGTATAGAAATGAATTACTCAGACTTAGGCCCTGAATTCTTTATCTGTGAGATTCTGTCCACATGCATTACTTTACATGTAATATAGATACAAATAAAAGGGAATTTATAGATTATCAGTTCTTACCTGTTGATCAAGATCAGTCTTTCAGAATATTACACTTGTGGGTTCTTTTACAGACTGGAGCCAGGGCCCTTTCTCAAACCCACCTAGAGCCCTCTGTTCTTACTCCTAGGCCTTCCCACCAAGGAAGCTAGAAGGTACTTATCTTTTGTTAGTAATTTCTACTATTCTGTCCCTTAGGCTTTACTGAAACCAAGTCTTTTATGCACTGATGCATGGACTTATCGAAGTTTTCTCCATCCTGAATTTCCCCTAAAACTAAATGCATAATACTTCTCCATTGTAACTCGTGTTCACAATTAAGATGAAAAGCCAAAATAAAATAAAATAAAGTTGATATAAAATCACAAGATTTTTTAAAAATTAAATTTATTTTAAATTGACACATTAAAAATTATACATATACATGGGTTCATGTGATACAAGATAATCTTAAGCGTTCAAACTGATTTTTGACTTCTTCCTTTGTTTTGGAATGTTCAATTCTTTGCACTTGTCCCTTTAAATTAGCTCATTCACCTTCAGTAGGTTCTTTGCTTCTTACAGTCCCTGACCCTGGAATCCTTCCAAGCCCGAGAATGTTGCACTCCAACAGTTACTCCCTGTTTGCCAGAAGAAGAAATTCAGAAAACAGTAATTGGCACTAATTTTTCTGTGTTCAATCTGCATTTTTGTAAACTTGATGATTCCCCTACTCATAAATGACATTGTTTGGTGCGTTTTCTAACACAGCCGAGTCTTTGTAAATTTTAATTTTTTTTATCTTTAATTGATAACTCCTCTGCCTTTGGCCTTAAAGTTTTGTATCTCATTTTACTCTTATTCCATCTCTTTCATTATAATGCTAAAATAAATAATTTCTATAACTTAAAATCATTTAATAGTTATTAATAATTTATGGTAAATAATTCTTGCAACTTAAAAATTCTCTTTGAGTTTTGACTTGGGGAGCAGTTGCCACATCCAACCACTTTATGGTATTTCAGGAAGGGAGTCTGCAGATCATCACCTTCAGATTGGAAGTATCTGAGATAGTTATCCCCAATAGAGTCAAAGACAAATTTCAAGCATTATTTTCAACTTATCTTTCTTATAAAAGACTGGACTAGAAGGAAATATTCCATAAAAACCCTAGATATTTTTGCCCAAGGAATATTTAGTTGCCCCCTTTGATATAAGACCAAAATGTCAGGATCTTGTCTCTGATCATGTTCTTGAAAATTTCTATCCAGACCTAGGACATCTAAGTGATTCCAAAAGCTCAGAAATTATAATGTACATTATGCCTATATTGTCCAGTGAATATCAAGATTTTTAGCCAATATGCATAGATATCCAGAGTAGATGAATGTCTAGTCACCCAACACAAGTTATCAAATTGTGAATAAGTGCCTAATAGGTAACAAACCTTCTGTAGTTACTACAAGAGTGTATGTGTAAGTGTGAGATTATCCCATGGGATGGTACTAAGCAATCCTGAATATGATTTATTGCTTCCTCAAATGGACCCTCCACCTATTTTAAAGTAATTTCCATTAACTTATCCTATAGTTGGCCATGATAAAATAATTTGTCAGACCAGACACAAACGGAAGTCTAAAATATCACATTTTATGTTCAATAGGCATTACCTCAGCCTAGGAACTTCTATAGTGCCGCAGTCTGGCTGGGAACAAATGCCGCAGTCTGGCTGGGCACACAATCACGAGCCACCACACAGCTTGTAGATTCAAACAGCAACTCTTTATTCCCGAACTCACACCAGCCGTCTACAATCACGTTCTGGGGAAATCCACGTTCTCTGCCCAAATCCACGTTCTCTGCCCAAATCCACCTCCACTGGGCTTCTATCTCCAAAATATATTGTCTGAATCCCGTGAGAACTCAAGGGGAACTCAGGCAGCAGGATACGCCCTATTCCCAGGAGGAATAATCTTAAACCTGGAACACCCTAAACCCAATTATCCTAAACCGGGAACACCCTAATCCGCCCTGGTCCTTGAGCAAGGTCACCTACATTCAATGTCACTGCAACATGGGGTACGCTGGCAAGGAAATTGTCATACCTACTTGGCTAATGGCTCCCAGCACTATAGAAAATACTTGTAGGGATAAATCCTGGGCAGTTGGAATAAGCATCATACATATTGTGCTCAGATGTTCAAGCAAAAGATAACTACTTCATTTCTCTATAGTTCATTTTTCCTCATGAGCCTTAGACTAATGGATAGCTGGGAGGGGGCCTACTAAATTTTAGTTTATTCTAGTAATTTAGTGCTAATCTGAGGCAGTAATTTAAGAACCCTCCTAAACTATACAATCTGTACTTGGTGTGCATATGTCAAAATTTTATCATTCAAAACGATGTGCCCCATGTACTCTCTGATTCAAAATTATCTCTGGGTTACAAGGTAAGGTGTGGCCCAGGTGATTTCAGGGCAGTTGTTTCTTCCTTTCATCTTCTAAGCCCTGCATTATACTCTGTTTCTTGTCTGATCTGTTAAACCAAGAGGCTGGCCTGATTCTGTTTAATGCATTGGTTGACTCAGTTTATCAAGTGTGTCATGGTAAGCAGGAACTCCCTACTAGACTCTGTGAACTTTCCCCTTTGCTTTGGGTCTGGAGTCCTTCCCAATACTGTCTCTTTGTTCTGACCCTAGATCTTTCTAGTCTACCTCCTCCAGAGCACCTGCCTCCCTTTGAGATCACTTGTGTGACACAAAGAGGATGTGTGGATTCCTGAATTCTGCCTCAATGAAGTTACTCCAGTTCTCTGCCACCACCTCAATCTAGCTCCTGTGGGACCTCCAAGAATAGAGCTGATCCAATTCCCTTGGCAACATGACACACAAGTACAGCCCAAGCAAAAGGGAGGTTAGCTCGAATCACTAAGTGTCCCAACAACCATTACCATAGGGAAGTTGATCAGTAGCCACAGTGTTCTCAAACTTCCCTATGGTTGTTGATAATCAGCCTCATATCAATATTCAGTCTGAAGGGCTAGGGTAGGTGATGAGAAAGAATATCCTGGGTAGTAACCCTTTGCTTTCTTTAACGTTTCTCTTCAAGTCACCTCCTGAGAGAGGAGTAGCCTATGTGCTTTTCCTTTTATGTATTCCTATAACGACATGCTGGCACCAAAACAAAAAAGTGAAAATAAAAGAGAATTAGATCATGCAAGATAATGTTGACTTCCTTGATTTAGGGGCTTCTGTTCCTCCACCATAGCATCAAAACATGAAACCCATCTCAATAAAAATATCATATATTTTGTAAAAAGACTGAAATCCATGGATCAAGGAAAATATGAAAATACAGAAATATATAAGAAAACATATCAAAGTGTGTGATCATTATTATACATATATCTAAGGCCAGGCTTTCTGAGCGCCTTTATAAAAATTAAAGCTGTAGTTCTTCTGGTTTGGATCTTTACATAATAAAAGAAGAAGACACAAATCCTACCTAACCTAAGTTCTATTTTTAACTTTCACTTAAATTCTTCTACCTGATCTCAAGTTTTCCCTTTAGAATTTCAATATGGGCTTATATGGAAAAACAACAACAACAATAAAACAAAACAAATAAACAAACAAAAAAAAAAAACACCAGTCATTCTTTCTGACCACTTAACCATCATTAAATGTAAATGTAAGAAAGTAGGAATTTTAGCTATCTCATTAAAATATTAACCATATAAATACTATATTCATCAGCTTTCCATCAATATAAGAAAATACTTGACAGACTGGTTATGAGGAATAAAAAGTTTATTTAGCTCATAGTTTTGGAGGTTCAAAGTTCAAATAGCATAATGCAAGTTCTGTAGTGGTTTTTGTTCCTTTTCTAAATCATTGCTTAATATACATAGCCATGGTTGGAGTGCACACAAGAGTGAACAAGTGACTATATTTTGAAGGAGGAAGAGACAGAGGGT